AGTCTAGGAGGAGCAGCAGTAGCAGAGGCAGATGCACCTGAGGGTGGTGCAGCAGGAGCAGCAGGAGCTTCACCTCCACGACGTGCTCCTCCACGTTCTTCTTCACGACGCCGTAGCCCTCCTTATCCTATTCATAAGATGTTCAGTGCTATATTTAGGATGTGTAGAGATATTCAGATTAGGCAGCAGGAGCAGAGGAATGCTAGGAGGAAGGACACTCGTATGCTCAAGTAAATTTCCTAGAGACTTGAGCTTGATCCTCCTAGATCTCCTATCTTAGATGATGAGCCTAGCGAGCCAGAGACAGAGGAGCAGCAGCAGGTCAGGTATGACAGAGAGTTTGCTGAGTTTCTTCAGCGATAGGAGCCGCAGCAAGCTCAGTAGCAGCAGGAGCAGGCACTGGGGCACCCTAACACCCTGCCACTGTAGGCTCGTGTGCCTACTCATGCTCAGCCACATCCAAGTGCAGCAGATGAGTATGCTTCAGACTGGTGGGGTGACCTCACAGGTGGATATAGCCACTATGGGTATGGTGGTTATGACCCATCTAGTGAGGGTGGTTCGCGCCCAGCTGGGGCTCCACGTTCAGATGATGAGGGTGATGGTAGAGATGATGATGATGATGATTATGATGATGATGAGTGATCACTGCTTTCAGAGACAACTTGTAGTCCCTTTGTGCTTTGTTTGATCTTTTGGTGACCTTTTGTGGTGATAGATGATAAAGGGGGAGAGACTGATTAAAAGCTTCAGGATATTTGTTTCATTTCTGATCTTTGTACCTGGAGATATGTACTGCAGCTATAGTTTGTGAGCTTTATTGATGTATCTATTTGAGTTGAGACAGATTATATGACATTTATCTTTGTATCATGTTTATGATGAGACTTGTACTTAATGGATGTATCCTCTGAGACTCATGTGAATGATCCTTATCTTGTAATATAATCTATCTTAGTGGTTTGTGGACCTGAGAAAATGTGTAATGAGTGCTATGTGTGATATACTTGTGTTGTATTTATTTTCATAAGGACCATGCATGCTAGAATGACAATGTTTGATGTGATGCTTTTATATTTATTCTTGTGTGATTTATCTTGTCATATGCATCACGGTTTTATTTTGTCACACACACTTGCACCCCACGGATACAATGATTTAGGGGGAGCCTTCTATGTATCTTAATATGTGCATTTGACATTTGAGGTCATTTTTGTGAATTCTATTCATAAGCACATATTAAGGGGGAGCCTCTCATAAATCATTGAACCCAAAAGCTTAAATGTTTATATCCTTTTGTAAGCTTTAATCAAGTTGTCATCAATCACTAAAAATGGAAAGATTGAAAGTGCATCTAGCTCTTTAGTGGGGTTTGGATGATTGAATGACAACGTGATTAAAGGTCTAACCCGTTTGCTAAGTGTGAAGAGGAAATAGGTTATCTCACGTATATTTAATGAAAGCCAAAATAATGTATTATTGGAAACAATCTAGTTCAAACACAAGACAACAATGCAAATGTAATTCATGTAAGGCTTATTCATTGTGGGATTTTGATAACTCATATGAAAGCAGGCATGTTGAAAAATAATTAATGAGACAAGAAGAATTGCATATGGAATGGTCTCAAGCTTGCTATATGAAAGACAAGTATACAAATGAACTTAATAAATGATTCGACACCAAGTGTGACTAGATGGCTTGAGATGGTGAAGATAGCAAAGAAAGGCTTCGAGGTACTAAGCAAGGATGAAGGGCAAACGACGGCTTGGCAACCGAGAAACCTAGCTAGGGTGAAGAAGGAAGTACTTGCATTTAGTTTAGGCACCAATCAAATCATGTTGGTCATATTGAAGTGAAGAATCAAATCCTAGATGACTTTATAAAGGGATGACTTGATACCTTTGAAGCCAACTCTTATATGTTGAATAGAATCAAGTCAAATGCTCAAAATGGCAATGATCAAGGATAAAATCAAAATAAACATGTTAACACCCTCACTTGATGAAGATTGAAGGCTATGGCATTTCGGTTCAAGAAAATTCAACTCAAGCACTTCAAACTCCATTTTCATTTGATCTTGAGTTAATAGGTATATTGTACTATTAAGAGGGATGCATCATGTTGATAGATAATCATTCATGAGTGCTCAAGCCAACCCATGTGAGATCTGAGTGTTTGAGAGACAGAGCTAACTTGTTTTCTGCTGGTCTGACAATACCGGACGCCTAGTCACAACAATTCCTTTGTTGTCTCGGCTTGGCTCGTTAGGAGTTTCGATGTGAGTCGGGAGTTTCGGCAATCGTCGGGAGTTTCGACGTCTCGCGCGTCACTGACAAAGTGACCGTTGGGGCTGTACGGCTAATACCGGACGCCCAACGGTCACATAACGACTAGTTTTTCAAAGAGGCTATAAATACCCCTTAGCCTTCACCTTTGGAGGCTGCTGACTCCCTCACACATTTTTGAGCCTTGAGAACACTCTCCAACCCTCTCTTAGTAAGTGATTGATTCAATCTTGCAAAATCCATCTTGTGGGTTAAGAGAGATTCAAATTTGAGAGCAAGTCACCATTGAGCACTTGTGCATATTATCGATCTCGTGATTTGCATTTGTTACTTTTGGACTCTTCTGTCCTAGATGGCTAGACGTCGTCGTAGAGCACCCAAGACATTGTGGTGTGCCTCGAAAAGTTTGTAATGGTTCGATTCCACCACCGCAAGGGAAGGAATCAAGCTAGTGGAAGGAGGAAAACTGAGTTGGAAAAGACTCCGGTTAGAGTGACCTTCGTGGTCCTCTAGAGCTGACCTTTGCTGGGTCGCTCGCAGCCCCCTCAACGGAGAGTAGGTCTCGACAGAGGCCGAACTTTGGTAAAACACATCGTGTGTCTCGATCTCTCTTTTTATTGAGTATTTGTGATCCATTTGTGTTGCTTGAGCTTGTGAACATGTTACTATTAAGTGCCATCAACTTGGTGTGAAAGGAGATATCAAAAGGATCAAGTTGAGAGCTGATCGGGCAAAACCCGTGTATACCGGACGCGTCCGGTATTGATACCGAACACGTCCGGTATTTGTGGACTCTGCTGTTTTTATTCAATCTCATTTCCAACCTTTGTGGTGTAGAGTTTTAGCTCCTAGATACCTTACACATACCTTGTTTACTCTGTTAGCTAACTCGTGAGGGGTTTATTTCTCTGATTAGGAGTTTCCAAGCAATCGAAAACTCCAACACTAATCGTTTCCGCATTTTGAAGGGTTGAATTTTTAGAAACGTCTATTCACCCCCCTCTAGACGGCATCCTCGGCTCTTTCAGATTTTCCTGTGGCTGGCATTTAGGAAACGTCACTGGACCAATGATCGTCGAGCAAGACATGGGCTTCAGGCTAGAAGAATGCTACCTGTGACCAGGCCCCTGAGTCGATCGACCACATCTTAACGTGCTGCCCAGTCACCCGGGAAATCTGGTTTCACATCTGCGCTGCCCTTGGTCACCAGTTGTCGTCGGTGGAGCGATCGGTCATCTCTTGGTGGAGGCTCCTAAGAAGAGGCTGGCACGGCAACCACAGGAAAGGCGTCGATTCCCTCTTTGCACTCGTCTCTTGGCAAGTTTGGAAGGAGCAGAACGCGCGCTGCTTCAGGGAGGCCACAGCCACGGTGCAAGAACTACTGCTCGTAATCAGGACCGAAGCCGATCAATGGGTACGAACGGGGGCTAAGAACTTAGGAGGACTAGCGTCGGGGGGTAGTCCTCTACCCAACCGGGATCTCAATATCGTTTCTGAACTTGTGCCCTTTCTCGGCTGTCGGGCTTAGGCCTATGCTTGTAAATCACTCTAATTTCTTCTTAATACAATGATACGCAATGCTCTTGCGTATTCGAGAGAAAAAAACTTTGAAGGCAATGCTGCCAAACGGCTGCAGGTTTACAAACAATCTCATAAGCTGGACTCTTGTCTCCTTTGCTTTAGCATTGGAACACAAGTTTGGCAGTGATGACTATCGCCTTGTTCTCACTGAGTTAATAGCAATGAGGCAAATTGGCACAGTGGAAGATTATGCCACACTCCCTGCCCTTTTCGACGGTTCTTAAAAAAAAGAGATTATGCCATGGCTTTTGAGGCCTTGCTGTTTCAAGTGTGCATGCACAACAACAAATATGATGGCCTTTTCTTTGTATCTCATCTCACTGAATGATGAATGGAATCAAGGATGATACCAGGGCTATGGTGGAAGGACAAGTACAACTGACAGTCGATAAAGCATTTATCATTGCCAAAATTCAGCAGAGCCTGTTGCCTGTTGGAGAGAACCAAAAGTACAGGTCCTCAGAAATCAGCACCTTTTAACAGAACAGCCGAATAATAATAAGCACCCAAGCACGACCAGAAGCCCAATCCACCTACTGGCAATCTCTGGAAAGAAAGGCGAGTCATGCTTTAATAGTTAATGATTTGGATCAGCCACTATCTGATGATATCTTGAACCAATTGGCCGTCTAAGATGCACTTGCGGAAGATTTTTACCAGCTCTCATTGTATGCCATGACTGCAGCTGACAACGGGGTGCATCAAATCAAATTACGATCATTCATGGGCAACAAGGCCAATTGGCTGTCTAAGTTGCTTTATCATGTTGATTTCATGTACAAAACCCATTTTACTTTTTACGTGTGCCTGTTGACGTGCTACTTCGAACAAGGTTGTTAGCAAGGGCCTGTTTGGCTCGTTGCCCAGCCTTAGCCTGGCTCGCACGAGCCAGCCAAACCACCGTTGGCCAGGCCCTGTGCATGAAAGATGTTGTTTGGTTACTTGGCTTAGTTCAGCCAGGACACAAGGAGCAGATGTTTGGTTATATGGACCTGCACCAGATTCAAAACGGCAATGTGCACGAAACTTGTTTCGTTGCCTGCATATAGGTTGGAGTTACCACTTGCTTGCACTGGTAAGATTAGCACCACCTAGTCCAAGAGGGTTACAACAGCAAGATTGCAGTCAATATTACATCAAGTTTGAAAGCAAAATTACAATCACTAAAGCTTGGACTAATATTATTGCACCCTCCACTAAAATTACAATATCTTTCCATGTCGCACCACCCCTCTTTAGATTAGCTACTGCAGGCTCCACTAAAATCGGATCATGTGCTCCAGGCTCCACTAAAACACAAAAGTTAACACACTAGTATATTACAATCTAAAACATACAGCCAACAGAATGTATATATACCACAATACCTAGAGAAAACCAATACTAGATGAAAAAACAATACGCCTATTTCATAGGTGGGATAAATGTCTGCTAATATAGGCCCATAGTAAATAATGCAGCATGAATAGAAGCATTAGCAGTCAGGCACAGTACAAAGCTTAAATATTGAAACAAAATAAGTCTTTACATCAAAAAGGCTTGAAAACATTAAGGAATGCATGTATATATATATATGCTATCTAACAGAGCAGTGTTCTGACATACCATGGTCCACATGAGCAATAACAGACATGTTGCAAATTTTGTTCCCTTTGTCCACGACGGCACGGAGCTCTTCAACCGTGAACTTCACCATCTTGACTTCTTATGAAGATCACACTACCAATACCATGTTGAAGGTTCGGGTATTAGTGAGAATTTAATAAAAAAACATGAGAAAATAACTAAACTGAAGGGCTGGGCTGGTGCAAGCGGTAGAGTCTTACCGCCTGTGACCGGAAGGTCCCGGGTTCGAGTCGCGGTCTCCTCGCATTGCACAGGCGAGGGTAAAGCTTGCCACTGACACCCTTCCCCAGACCCCGCACAGAGTGGGAGCTCTCTGCACTGGGTACGCCCCTTTTTAGAAAATAACTAAACTGAAAACTTTGACACTGACATCAGTAGCAAAGAAGTAATAACCACTATAGTTGTCAGGAGCCAAAGAGACATGGAAATAATTAACCATTTCAGAAAGTTAATAAAAATGTTTTAACATGCATTATTTGTCAGGATACATTATTCCTTCGTTTACACCACACTAACACTTCACAGAATTGTAAGCACCAAAATCTAAGAAAAAAGTAAACTGAAAACCATGTATGATGTATCTTAGTTGAACACAGGGTGCAACCTCGTCAATCTAAGATCGACAATCAAGACAGAGCACAACTTATTCTTTAGACCATCAAAGTAACAGACACGAAACAATCAAATAATAGCAATTCGGGCTCGAGGCGCTTCCATATGTACACAGTACCAGGAGGGTGCAGATATGGAGATACCATATTTTTTTCAGAAAACATGATACGGGCACATAGCAGGAAATTAAAATGGTCCTATATCCTAAAAGCAGTTGCAACGTAGCAGTAACATAAAAATTGCCCTATATTCCGGTTCACCTGTTGTAGCTGCTGAATCCCGTCCCCAATCTTACAAGTGACCAGACAGACAATTCAACTGATGAATAAGGACAGGATCCCGTCCACGATCTTACAATACAAAGGTACAGTAAGGGCGTAAGGGAGAGGGGGCAGAGAAGAAGCTGGCTCGTAGTCGATTTACCGTGGGCTGCGTGCGTCGGTGGCAGCTGCTGCTCGTCGCAGGTGCGGGCTCGCTGCCGGCGCCGGCCCTCGTCGCTGGTGCGGAGGCGGGCGGGCGGTGTACAGCATATATATAGGAGATAATAATGGGCCAAACGGTGACCAGCCTGCATACTTAAATGGGCCAAGACGTATTGCCGTATTAGCCCAAATATTGATTTTTTTTAAATTTTGTTTTGTACTAGTAAACGTACCCATACGTTATTGACGCACATTGTTGCATGGTCAAATGAATAACTCGCGGGTTGAAGATTTATCACACACCATATGCACTCTTCGCCATAGATCAGACTGTATTATATTTTTATATTGCAGTCATGCCTTCTAATTTGCATTGAAATCCGATTCTACGCTCGATTTTTTTTTCCGAAACGAATCAGGATGGAGAGCTATTGATTATATTAAAAAGCAGATAAAGCCCAGAAAATGATACAACTATGGTCAGTTAGATTGGGCCATCTCACCGAACTCAAACTTAAGAGAGAAAAACAACTCTGGCCGATTGAAATGGGACATCGACACAAGAAAACTCAGTAAAGAACGCACGCTCGACCGCCTCTGAACCACCACAAGCCGGTCACCACACTGCACCGCCAACAAACGGACGACAAAGTAGTCATGACAAAAACACCGTCATCACTGTTTGCACCATTGTTGCCGATGCTGTCTCACACCGAGGTAGCCCGCTATCGAGCACGACAAACATCAGTAGACACATCTCGAATTTATATGAATATAGGAATAGGAGTAAATGATCATGGAAACACTCCATACATTAATACTAAGTATATGGATAGAGTACATACGAACATTTTCAATTTTAGCAAAACAGTTCCTAGAGATTAGATAATAAGAATATACTCCCTACGTCATTGAATATAAGGGCATGCACATATTTCAGAATTCAAACATTGTTATCTTAGACTAACGATTAGCCTAATTACATCAAATTTTTGTATTAAAAAATAATTACATTAGATTTATATGAATACTTTGTAATGATCAAAATTTTGCTCCAATAAATTATATATTATAAGAAAAAAATATAGATCAAAATATGTTCTTGAAGACCACACGAAGTCAAATCGCGCCTTATATTCGAGGATGGAGGGAGTATATGATATCATAAGGCCAGTTTAAGTGGGAGTTTCATGAGAGTTTCATTTGCATTTAATAGCCTGCCACATATGCATTTTTGATGATATGGCAATGTTTTAATGAAGAGAGAGAAGAAATGTGTTTCATGAGGATGAAACTCTCTTGGCACGATTACCAACTTTCTATGAGTCTTAGAATTAAGTGTCTATGAAACCGTGGAATGAAACTTTGCATTAAGAGTGGGTGTTTCATCCAAGTTTTATTTCATTATATGGCATGGCAGTCTTGGAAACAACGCAATGAAACTCTCCACTAAGACTGACCAACGTTTTATGTCCCAATTTACAAGACGTGACGCTGAAAATAAAATATGGTCTATGAATGCGTAGTTTCATTTCATTGTTTAGCATTTAATTATCCACTGTGTTATGATCAAATATGGCGGCCAGTCTGAGTGTGACGTTTCATGTCCCAATTTACAAGACATGACACTGAGAATAAAATATGGTCTATCAATGTGCAGTTCCATTTGGTTGTTTAGCATTTAATTATCCATTGTGTTATGATCAAATATGGCACGTGAACTACTATGTAGCCAACCTAGCAAGGTGCAGTTGAATCCTAAGCACCAGATCAAATACAGAACCTACTCATTTTCTTCGGTAGAATTGGCAGAGCTGTACTCTCTTATTAGAAAGATTGGTACCACACGCTCACATTCACAGAGCCATTTTCACACTGCATGATTGACATTTACATAGTTGTTATCCAATGGCAAAATGCAGATAGCATTCACACTCAGATAGCGTTAAAGCAAAAATGAGATGCCTTCAGATAGCATGCTTGTAACATACAGATAGCATCTAAGATAACATTCATGTAGCGTAGTAGCGAGCAATACACTTGTCTAGGAATCACAAACACGCTACTGATGATACAATAAACATTTCATTTCATTAACCTACTTGCTGACTTATTGCAACGGTATACCGTATACAAGAATGAAGTCGCTTGAAGCAATACCACGATACAAATACCTGGTGGTTCCATAAAAAAAAAACTATGCATAGCAAAACTCAAAACTCAAAAGGCAAGGAACCAGAAGACCTGGCTTATCGTTACAAAAATCAAAAGAGCTGCAAAAACGACTATACACTTCGCATGGAAAAAGGCAAGAAAGCAACCAACAAAAGGGTGAAATGCTCCGCCAGATCAGGCAGAGCATTAATAAGACAATAGAAATGAGCAACACACTGGAAATTTTGGGGAGATAACTCAAAACACATTAGTATTAGCTATTTAAATGTACCTCGATTCTATTCTACAATATCAACTGAGTCATACATATGCGGAACTCATCATTGATAAATCGATAAAAAAAATCAAAAGAGCTGAAAAAATGACTACACATGGAAAAGGAAAGGAAACAACCAACAAAAGGGTGAAATTCCCTGACAGATCATCAGGCAGAGCGTTAATAAGACAGCAGAATATAAGTATATAACCACTTACTAAACCCCAGATACCAAATCTATGTCATCTGCTACATTTGACAACTAAAACAAAACAAAATATTGTAGTAGTTCCCATTACAGTAGACCAATTGACGATTAAACCAGCAGGTGCAACAGTAGCACAAACAACCAAAAATTTAGAGCTTGTCCTCAAACTCAGAGAGAGGGGTCATCTGTTCCTTCAGATCCTTCCTCTTGCGGATATCCAGCACCAGCTGAGCAGCCTGGGAGCCAGCCTCCAAAGGATCAGAGCCCATCATGTCCCAATGGTCAAAGACACACTGGGGGAACGCCTGACCAGAGGTTGCAGCCCTCAGTTGGCTGGAGAACCCAAAGGACTCAATGACAGGGAGGTAAGCCTTGATGTTGTAGAGCGGGGTACCCGGCCTCTGCATCTCCTCGAAGACGTGCCTGTGAGAATTCCAGGTATTGAAGCGTCGCACCTTTGCCGTGCCCGCCTGCATGTTAATATAGGCCAGGAAAACACCCCTGACGTGGTTTACAAGATGTTGCCGAGATTGCTTGCCGGTAATAGAAAAGTCTAAATCCTATTTACAAAGAAATTATCCTCCTAAAAGTATAACAATATATTCTACAGCCTTATATATCCTAAACCAGTGCAAGTCAATCTCGTCACAGTGATTACAATATATTTAAGTATCTTAACAGCCCCTCTCAATCATAACTTACATAAGTTAAGATTGTGTCGAAAATTTTGAAGTTTCTGAGTAGTGAGAGACTTGGTGAATCCATCTGCAACTTGATCATTTGTAGATATAAGTCGAATATCCAATAGTCCTTGAGCTACCCGTTCTCTGACAAAATGATAGTCCACCTCAATATGCTTTGTTCTAGCATGGAACACTGGATTTGCCGAAAGATATGTCGCTCCAATATTATCACACCAAAGGCGTGCTACCGGTGGACTTTTTATGCCTAACTCTCGCATGAGAGAGTTTGAATCTAGATAACTTCAGCTGTTGCATTTGCCATAGCCTTATATTCTGCCTCTGTACTAGATCGTGATACTGTCGCTTGCTTTCCTAAACTCTAGGATATTAGATTAGATCCTAAGAAAACTGCAAAGCCACTAGTAGAACGACGATCATCCACACATCCTGCCCAGTCCGCATCAGATAAAGCACTAACAAGTATAGAGTTTGATCTTTTTATCTTTAGACCAGTACTTACTGTCAACTTGAGATATCTCAAAATTCTTTTAACTGCTGACCAGTGTGTGGTAGTGGGAGAATGTAGAAATTGACAAACTTTATTGACCGAAAAAGATATATCAGGCCTAGTCAAAGTAAGATACTGTAGTGCTCCAACAATACTGCGAAAACGTGTGGCATCCGCTGGTCCGAGTAGTTCTCCATCTTGGGCCGAGAGTTTTTCAGAAGTAGATAACGGAGTGCTAACTGATTTGCAGTGTTGCATGTTCACACGTTTGATTATATCCGATGCATATTTTTCTTGTGACAATAAAATACCATCAGATACCTTGTTTACTTCAATGCCCAGAAAATAATGTAGATCCCCTAGATCTTTCAATGCGAAATCCTTCTTCAAATCTTGGATAAGTGCATCCACAGCATCTGATGATGAACTTGTGACTATAATATCGTCAACATATATTAGCAAAAATATTGTAATATCACCTTTCTTATAGAAGAATAAAGAAGTATCAGCCTTTGATGCTTGGAAACCAATATCTTGTAATTTTTGACTCAGCCGAGAGTACCAAGCTCTGGGTACCTGTTTTAGACCATATAAAGCCTTATCTAATTTGCATACATACTGTGACATAGATTGCTTCTCATACCCTGGAGGTTGTCTCATATAAACTTCCTCCTCTAGAATGCCATGAAGAAACGCATTCTGAACATCTAATTGACGAAGTGACCACCCGTTAAAAACTGCAATAGACAACACCATCCTGATAGTGGTAGCCTTCACTACTGGACTAAATGTGTCTTCATAGTCAATACCATATCGCTGCTTAAAACCTTTTGCAACGAGCTTTGTACCTATCTATTGTACCATCAGCCTTTCTTTTGATTTTATAAATCCATTTGCAATCAATTATATTTCTACCCTTCTCCGGAGGAATTAGATGCCAAGTTTTATTCTCCATGAGTGCATGATATTCAGTATCCATAGCCGCTTTCCACCTTTCATCGTTTAAAGCTTCTTCTAGATTTTGGGGTTCACCCGTACTAGTAAAACAGCCATACCTGATTGTGCCGTCAGTTCTGATTTTTGGTTGTCTAATCCCATGCTGAAGTCGTGTGACAGGCCTATGTTGCACAGAAGCCTCCGGAGTTGGCTCCACAGATGATCCGGTTGTTGGGAATTGAGTGGATGCAGGATGCTGAGTTTGGTCTTCCACCGTTGAGCTGTATGTCCCTACTGTCCTCTCGTTCGTGGCATGCACGGAGACTTCCGATGGGGCAGCTGTCTCCTCCCCATGGCTCAGCACAGCAGCAGGACACGTTTCTTGATCGCGCACGAAGCAAGGAGAAGAAGTCGTCGCAGCAGGCGCTCCTGGTGCGGACAAGGACGAATCCACCTCGGGTGGTATAGCTCCTGGAAAATTCTGTACCTGTACCATCTCAGCATCATTTGTCAGTAGGAAACTGTCATTGTTATCCAAATTTTGTGGCAAATTAACCGGAACATTAGTTAAGTGGTCATCTAATTGTTCATCCCCAAAACTATCGCGCAAGGAAGAGGGTAATAATAGAATCTCAGAACGAAGCCGTGCTCCAGCATTAGGATGTAGGTCCTTAAAGGGAAATATTTCTTCATCAAAGACAACATCTCGAGAAATATAGACTCGGCCAGTGGAGATGTCGAGGCATTTGTAACCTTTATATAGGTTACTATATCCAAGAAGGACACAACGCTTTGAGCGAAACTCAAAGTTTTCTAGAATCATAGGGTCGAAGGTTAGGCCAGCACGCACAGCCAAAAACACGAAGAGATGAATAATCAGGCTGTTGATTATACAAGCGCTCAAAAGGTGTAGCAAAATGTATAACCTTGCTAGGGGTTCTATTAATAAGAAAGACAGCAGTGATAAAGGCCTCGTCCCCAAATTTTAGAGGCATGCAAGCATTAGCAAGGATAGCTAGACCCACTTCGACTATATGGCGATGTTTACGCTCTGCTGATCCATTTTGTTGATGAGCATGAGGACATGAAACATGATGAGAAATACCAATTTTGGTAAAGAAAGAATTTAGTTTCTCATATTCTCCACCCCAGTCTGTTTGAACAGCTATAATTTTTCTATTAAATTGTCTCTCAACAAGTTGCTGGAAATCATGGAATTTTTGAAAGACTTTGGATTTATACTTGAGTAAATAAATCCAGGTGAATTTACTATAATCATCAATGAAACTGACATAGTATTTGTTTCTACCCACAGAATCAGGAGCAGGACCCCAAACAACGGAAAACACAAGCTGCAAAGGGGCAGAAGAAATACTAGTGGATTTTGGATACGGAAGCTGATGGCTCTTGGCCATTTGACAAGAATCACAGATAGATTGTTTATTTGACTCACTAGAACATGGCAATCTATTTGTACTAATAACATGCTGAGTAATAGAATAAGACGGATGGCCTAAACGACTGTGCCACCTTGATGGTGACACTTTATTGATTCCAAAAACATGTCTCTTGGCATCAATGGATGTAGAAGGAAGGGGATAAAGGCCACGTCTACATCTGCCTTGCAGAAGAGTTTTCTTCGTGTCTTGATCCTAGACAAAAAAGAAATTATGGTGAAATTCCATAAAGGCATGATTATTAGTAGTAAAACGATGAACTGAAACTAAATTTTTCTTAGCATTTGGAACATGAAGAATATTTTTCAAGTGAAGATTGCCATCGGGGTTATGAAGAATAGATTGACCAACATGACTTATGTTCATACCTGCGCCACTAGCAGTATGAATCTGATCGCCTCCGGTATACCTATCACGGGTGGTTAGTTTCTCTAACTCGCCCGTGATGTGATCTGTAGCTCCTGTATCTGTATCCGCATACCAATTGGTATCCACAGTATATGATGACGTAGCAGCATTAACAAACCTCTGATCAGGTACATAAGTTTCACCGTAACGGTGCGAACAATCAGCAGCAGTATGACCTTCCTTGAAGCAGACCTGGCACATGGGCTTATCACCGTTACTGTTGACGAAATTGTTGGCATGCCGATTCTTGTTGTTGTTGCCTAGGAAGCCTCCACGTCCACGGCCACCATTGCCACGTCCACGGTTGGCACCTCTTCCACGAGCACCGAAGACCACGGACAGACACCACCACGCCAGCACACGCGCCACGCGGCGCCGCCGCAGTGTTAATAGAAGAGGGCGACCCCCCATGCCAGAGATCAACACGCTGCTCAAAATTTGTCAATTGCGTGTACAATTCGTTGACCGTGATCGGTTCAACACGAGCAAGGACTGCAGAGATAACTGGATTATATTCCAGATCAAGGCCTGTGATGATATAACTCACGAGCTCCTCGTCATCAATAGGCTTGCCGGCGGTGGCCATCTCATCGGCGAGCGTCTTCATCTTGCCGACATATTCGGCAATCGTCATGTTGCCTTTTTGAGTCGTCGTCAGCGCGATCCGAGTGTTGACAATTCGTGCACGCGTCTGGGAGGCATACATGTCCTCCAACACCTTCCACAATTGTGCAGCATAAGTGCACGTCGCGACCTGTGTCAACACTTCACGAGAAAGCGAGGACACGAGGTAGCTGAAGACCTTGTGTTAGCCACTGCACGTATGCAGGGTTCGGCACCTTCTTCTTCTCTTTGTCATCATCGATCTCGACGGCCGGAGCTTGGACCGTGCCAACAACGTACCCGATCAATTGGGCACCACGAAGCGCAGGAAGAACCTGAAGCTTCCACAACGGATAGTTCGTCTTGGTGAGCCGTTCAGTCACGGGATGACCGATGGCGTTCGTGGTGATAAGACTGTTGGATGAACTCGCCATGAGAATTGGTGTAGATGGGATCGTTATCTCACAACTCTCTTTTCTCTCTTTTTTTTTTAGAGAGGCTCTGGTACCATGTGAGAATTCCAGGTAGTGAAGTGTCGCACCTTTGCCGTGCCCGCCTGCATGTTAATATAGGCCAGGAAAACACCCCTGACGTGGTTTACAAGATGTTGCCGAGATTGCTTGCCGGTAATAGAAAAGTCTAGATCCTATTTACAAGGAAATTATCCTCCTAAAAGTATAACAATATATTCTACAGCCTTATATATCCTAAACCAGTGCAAGTCAATCTCGTCACAGTGATTACAATATATTTAAGTATCTTAACAGTGCCCTCTCTTCTGGTTCAGAACACCGTAGATACCACCAAGTGCATTTTCTGGGGCCTGAATCTCAACCAGGTACACTGGCTCCAGCAGCCTTGGCTTGGCCGTGAGCTGAGAAGCATAGATGACCCTCCTGGCAGTTGGAATGACCTGGCCACCACCCCTGTGGATAGCATCAGCATGAAGAACGACATCACAGACCTCAAAGCAAATTCCGCGCATGTTCTCCTCAGCCAGTGCACCCTCCTTTGATGCCCACTGGAAACCAGCCACGACAGAATCCTTGATTTCATTGAGATACTGCACTCCCTTACACATATCAACAACCATGTTTGGGCCGGTGGTCTCAGGTCCAAAGCACCAAATCTTCTTGGCGAGATCCTTGTCCCACCCAAACTACTGAGAGAGGATCTGGGAGCGCACCTTAGGATCATCACGTGGGCCAATGCGGCCATCATCGATGGCCTCAGCAAGACCCTCCTCCAAGGGGCGCGCCTCCATATACAGACGGTTGTGCTTGTTGGGAGACTTGCTCATGACAGTACGGCAGGACTTCTCAAGAACGGTTTCCCGGAAGGACACAACAGGAGGGGAAACAATAATTTCAGCACCACCCATGAAGTCCTCCTGCAGATCCTTCAGGCAAATCTCAAGATGAAGCTCACCAGCTCCAGCAATGATATGCTCACCAGACTCTTCCATTGTACAGAGAACCATAGGATCGGACTTCGCCAGACGCTTCAAACCTTCGACTAGCTTGGGAAGGTCAGAGGCAACCTTGCACTGAACAGCAACACGCACAACAGGAGAGACAGAGAACTTCATTGCTCTGATTGGGCATGCATCAACCTCCTTCTCATTAGTGAGTGTAGCATTCTTCGTGATGAACTTGTTAGATTGATCTCCCAGCCAATAAGCCCAACGGTCTATTAGTCCTTGGTCACGCGCCCTGATCGGGGGCACCCAACCCTACATGGTTGGTGGGCCCCCGTCGCACTGCACTACATAAAGTGGTGGGGGCCGGCGGCTCGAGATACGAGGTTCACCGTGAGCCAATCCGCCCCACCAACAAACCCTAAGTCCGATCTAGCAAGGGTGCGCAGCCAGCGACGGGAAGACGCCACCGTCATCACCGTCGGCTTCACTGCACCTCACCCCGTCGCCGGACTTCACCGACTCTTCCCCGACCGTCGCTGCCCGTGCGTAGCCTACACCAGCGAACCTGATGGAGGTCACTGGATCTTCCACCCCTGCGGTCTCAGGTTTGGTACCTTTTCCCCTTCGCTCCCTGTCTCTCTCTAGACTATTCTAGATGTATTAGGATCTACCGTTTTACATGTTATACCGAATAGGACAGTCAAAGGCTAGATCTATGATCCGAATAGTTTAACATTGGTACCAGAGCCACGGTTTAGGTATAGATCTGGCTTAACAAATAGAAATCCAGTGCGGATTTAGAATGTAGAAAGGGGCTTCGGCCGACAAAGGGTTCGGTTGAACCCTAACCTCGGATCGAGGTTAGATGAAGGTTCGGATGAAAGAAAATCTAACCCTAACTCTAGATCAGGTTTGGGAAAAGAAAAGAAAAGATACATCCAAACCCTAGATCGGGTTTTGGGACAATAACATGGTTTCAACTGAAAACCGAACTTCAAACCTGTCAAGAAATCAATTCGGGAAAAGACAACAGTGGCCATCCCAAACCCAAACCCTAACCCTAATCGGCAAATCGGATGAAATCCGAACAAACGAATCAAAAGAAAGGGGAAGAAAGGGAAGGGGGTGGCCTACCTCACCGCTTACAGCGAAATACATCACGCCGCGCTGCTGAGAAAGGAAAAGGCGGCTCGGGGTACTTCTCACGAACAGGCCACGGGCGCCACAGCAGCCGCTGACGGCGGCGGCAGCTCACTCACCCGGGCGCGCCTTGCGCCGACGAGGGGCCGGCGACGGCGCCGGGCTCATTGCTCGCTCTCTCGCCGTCGAAGCTCGTCGCTCGGTCTTCATCTTGAGAGAAGAAGAGGTGAGGCTGAGAGAGAGAGAGAGAGAGAGAGAGCGAATGAGAATGAAACTAGGGTTTTGGATTGGGGCGGCCGCGGCGGGTTTTAATCATCCGAACTCACCGCTCGGCCGTCGGATTTGAACAAACGGCTCAGATCATATGGGCCAGTGTCGCGGCCCAGGCGGGCGTGCGGACGCGCGGGACTTTGCCGACCCAGGCCCAGGTTGCGGCCTGGGTGCGGCCTGAGCGCGCGAGAAGGAGTGGGCCGTGGGCCGGTTGCGCTACTATGGGCTGAAATTGCCAAACACAGTGAAATTGAATTCATTTTATTTTTTTCCAGAAACTGATTTGATTCATATTTGATAAATTCGAATTGAATTTTGATGTTGAAATCTGTACAATTTTGATCTAACGTCAATTTTGTTCAGAGAATAGTAAAGTGTTGTAACAGTTTCTGGAAAATAGAATTAAAAGATTTATTAAAGTTTCCGCTGTATACTTAAAAATTGTTGCTTTCATTATTAAATTCGAATCAACGGGAGAATTTAATTTTGAAACATAGATAATTTTTACAGTTATTATAATGTTGTTATTATTTTAACCAATGTTGATTAATAGCAATATTATAATGTTGATGTTATTATGGTTTTTTTTGTTATTCATTATTTCTATTTCTGTCCAACGGTGATGTAGATTTAATGTATAAAACAATTGTATGTTTTAATTTTGGCCAACGTTAATCTAAGGCATGCAATTGTTGTTGTTATTATTTGTGTTCTCACACTATTTGAATTGTATTTTCAGACGGATACAACTTGATGAGTTGTATTAAAGAGATCCCCACTCTAAAAGGTGATAACTATATTGAGTGGAAGAAAAAGATAGACCTGGCTTTCATCCTCGCTGAGGTGGACTGGGTAGTCACCACACCGTGTCCCACAGAGCCTGTGGCACCGGTGAGGGAGACAGATGAGACTGATGCTGCATGGCAGAACAGAGAGCGGGACTTTGCTCCCGTAAAGATGTGACCTTGAATATAGAAAGTAGGTCACATCCAATAAGAAATGTTTGGCTGTGATAAAGAATACAATTGAGCCTGCAATAGTGGGCTCAATTCCAGACTGTGACACGGTCACAGAGTACCTAGAAAGAATAAAGAGTCAGTTCACTGGCTCTTCAAAGACATATGCAACCCAGCTGATCAAGCAGCTGGTCACAGAAAGGTACTCTGGTGGCGGCAGTGGCATTAGAGAGCACATACTGAGAATGAGCAATTTGGCATCTAAGCTCAAACCAATGGATTTGGCACTCAAGGATGAGTTTCTTATTCATTTGATTTTTTCTTCTTTGCCCAAAGAATTTGACACCTTTGTTGTTAATTACAATATACAGCCTGAAAAATGAGATTTAGAAAAGCTCATAGCCATGTGTGTGCAGAAGGAGGAAAGAAGAAAAGTTTCACAGGTGGTACTGTCAACTACCTAAAAGATAAGAAAAAGAACTATAATAACAGCTCTTCCTCCAAGTCATCTGGAAAGGGTCCCATGCAACAGTCTCAGAGCAAGCAATTCCCAATGGATAAAGATCAGTGTCTCTACTGTAAGAAGACGGGACATTATAAGAAGAATTGTCCTGATTTCCTAAAGATGATAATGAAAAATAAAGGTGAGAACATTATTACGTTCGTAAATGAATCCTTGTATGTCAAGTTTTCAAAATCTACTTGGTGGATTGATTCAGGTGCAACTATTCATGTTGCTAATTCATTACAGGAATTTCGTTCGATGAGAACTTTGCAAAGAAGCGACAGTTTCATTAAAGTCACAAATGGAGTACAAGCAGATGTTGAGGTCGTTGGCGATCTTCCGCTAGAGCTTGTTGATGGCTTCATACTTTTTCTTAGAGATGTTCTTTATATACCTTCTTTGCAAAGAAACTTGATTAGTGTATCAAAGTTGGACCATGATGGTTATGATTGCCATTTTGGAAATGACAAATGTCAGATATTGTTTAATAATAGATGTATTGGTCTTGCCTTCCGACAAGACGAGCTTTATTTGTTATCAATTCGTGAAAATGTGAATTCTGTATGTGATGTGAATGAGAATGTATCCTCATCGAACAATGCAAATAGAAAACGAAAGAGAACTCACGATGCGTTGTCGAAATTATGGCACTGTCGTTTAGGCCATATTTCGAGGGGGGGAATAGAAAGACTAGTTAAGAATGATATTATTCCCCCATTAGAGCTCTCAGATTTAGAACAATGTAGAGATTGCATAAAAGGAAAGTATGTAAAGAAAATTAAGAAAGATGCCAAACGAAGCGTAGGAATTCTACAGATTATTCACACAGACATATGTGGTCCTTTTCCTGTGAAAAGTGTGGATGGTTATGATTCATTCATAACATTCACAGACGATTACTCTCGGTTTGGCTACATTTATCCAATTAAAGAAAGAACAGAAGCGCTGGATAAATTCAAAATATTTAAAGCAGAAGTTGAAAATCAACATAATTTAAAGATTAAGATAGTCAGGTCTGACCATGGGGGAGAGTACTATGGTCGGCATACCCCATATAGCCAAGTTCCTGGACCTTTTGCAAGGTTCTTACAGGAGAATGGCATAGTAGCCCAGTATTCCACACCGGGCGAACCTCAGCAGAATGGAGTAGCTGAAAGGCGCAATTGTACCCTGATGGATATGGTGCGCAGTATGATAAGTTACTCCACTTTACCGATGAGTCTGTGGATGGAGGCGTTAAAAACCGTCATTCATATTCTCAATAGAGTATCAAGTAAATCGGTGCCCAAAACACCGTATGAGTTGTGGACAGGAAGAGTACCCTCACTTAACCACTTGCGTGTGTGGAGGAGCCCTGCTGAGGCTAAAGTTTTTAACCCAAACATTGGGAAGCTAGATCCCAAAACAGTGAGTTGTCATTTCATTGGCTACCCAGAAAAATTAAAAGGTTTCCGTTTCTACTGTCCTGATAGACATACAAAGTTTATGGAAACGAGACATGCTGTCTTCCTAGAGGATGAAATGATGAGGGGGAGCATGGTAGCTTGAGAAATTGACCTTAAAGAGAAGCGGGTGTATGCACCCACTTCGATAATTCATGAGCCATTTTTCTCACTACATGCTGTTGCTGCACCGACAGTACAAGACACTGTGGTGCCAGCACCTGTTGTTATCCCGCCTGTAGCAACAATGAATGATGATGAGGAACCTGTTCCTCAGGATCCTATAGAAACTATTGCCACACATGAGGGGGAGCAACAACAGCCTCATACAGAAAATGTGCCAAATGAGGAGGCCCCTAGAAGGTCTCAAAGGGTTAGAAAATCAGCTATTCCTGCTGATTATGAAGTGTACAACACTGAAGAATTTCAAATAGAGGATGATCCCACCTCATTTGAAGAAGCCATGAAAAGTGATCATTCATCAAAGTGGCTTGAGGCCATGGAAGATGAAATGAGATCAATGAATGCAAATAAAGTTTGGGATTTGGAGATAATTCCTAAAGGAGCCAAAACAGTAGGCTGTAAATGGGTCTACAAAACAAAACTTGACTCTCAATGGAATATAGAGAGACATAAAGCCCGACTTGTGGCAAAAGGCTTTATACAAAGAGAATGAATTGATTACAATGAGACCTTTTCTCCAATCTCATGTAAGGATTTCTTCAGAATCATAATGGCGTTAGTGGCACATTACGATTTAGAATTACATAAGATGGATGTAAAGACGGCATTTCTCAACAGAGACTTAGAAGAAAATGTTTACATGGCATAACCGAAAGGTTTTGTCATGGAAGGAAAAGAACGTTTGGGATGCCGCCTAAAGATATCCATTTATGGATTAAAACAAGTTTCAAGACAGTGGTACTTGAAGTTTGATCAGACAATAAAGAATTTTGGGTTTAAAGATAATGTTGAGGACAATTGTGTCTACGCAAAGTTTAAGAATGGGAAATTTATCTTCCTTGTCCTGTATGTGGATGATATCTTACTTGCTAGTAGTGATGTCAGTCTACTACTGGAAACAAAGAAGTTTTTATCCTCAAAATTTGATATGAAAGATCTTGGTGAAGCTTCGTTCGTTCTAGGGATCGAGATTCACCGAGATAGAAGTAAAGAGGTATTAGGACTGTCACAAAAAGCATACATAAAAAAAGTCTTAAAGAAATTCAGTATGCACAAATGTAGTCCCTCACCTGCTCCTATAGTCAAGGGCGACAGATATGGGGATTTTCAAAGCCCCAGGAACCAATATGAGATCGATCAAATGAAAGTGGTTTCATATGCTTCAGCTGTCGGAAGCTTGCAATATGCTCAAGTATGCACGCACCCTGACTTGGCATTTGTTACCGGGTTACTTGGCAGATTCCAGAGCAATTCTGGAATAGAACACTAGAAATTGGTAAAGAAAGTCTTGCGTTATTTGCAAGGAACGAAAGACCTCATGATGACATATAGAAGATCTGATTCACTCCATATAGTGGGATATTCAGATTCTGATTACGCGGGAGATAATAGAAAATCCACGTCTGGATATGTGTTCACACTCGCAGGGGGAGCTATTTCATGGAAAAGCTCAAAGCAAACCGTCACTACATCGTCCACAATGTATGCCGAATTTGTAGCGTGTTATGAGGCAACGGGACAGGTGAACTGGCTAAAGAAGTTCATACCCGGTTTGAAGGTGGTTGACGACATCAATAGACCACTGAAGTTATACTGCGATAATAATCCAGCAGTACAGTATGCTCACAACAATAGGTCAAGTGGTGCTGCCAAACACATTGACATAAAATATTATGTTGTGAAGGATAAAGTCCGGGATTAAATGATAAGTCTTGAGCATATAAGTACCGAAAAGATGCTCGCGGATCCGCTTACAAAAGGCTTACCACCCAACGTGTTCAGAGAACATGTAGCCGGCATGGGTTTAAGGGAAAGCCTATGATTCCTAGACTATAAAGGGTCCAAAAGTTAAAGTAACTATTTCAGATCAGAGACGTGCATTGTAGCTGTTAAATCTATCGGCGATTGGCCGTGACGATGAAACATGCTCTATGCATCATCTGTGAAGAAATGAGTAAGGATAAAAGGATTGAGGTTTAAAGTTTAAAGATAAAAGTAATAGTGTGAGATCAAGGGGGAGAATGTTAGATTGATCTCCCAGCCAATAAACCCAACGGCCTATTGGGCCTTGGTCACGCGCCCTGATCGGGGGCGCCCAACCCTACATGGTTGGTGGGCCCCCGTCACACTGCGCTATATAAAGTGGTGGGGACCGACGGCTCGAGGTACGAGGTTCACCATGAGCCAATCCGCCCCACCAACAAACCCTAAGTCCGATCTAGCAAGGGTGCGTAGCCAGTGACGGGAAGACGCCACCGTCATCACCGTCGGCTTCACTGCACCTCACCCCGTCGCCGGACTTCACCGACTCTTCCCCGACCGTCGCTGCCCGTGTGCAGCCTACACCAGCGAACCTGATGGAGGTCACTGGATCTTCCACCCCAGCGGTCTCAGGTTTGGTACCTTTTCCCCTTCTCTCCCTGTCTCTCTCTAGACTATTCTAGATGTATTAGGATCTATCGTTTTACATGTTATACCGAATAGGACAGTTAAAGGCTAGATCTATGATCCGAATAGTTTAACAGAACTGATCCAGACCAACCATAGCAACAGTGTTACCACAAGGAACATCCTCAACCGACTCTTGTTTCTTTCCCATCCAGATAACAGTACGCTGGACACTCTTGACATACAGATCCTTCTTCTGGCCAGGGACATAGTTGGGACCCATGATCCGAACCTTCATACCAGTAGCAACCTTCCCTGAGAAGACACGACCGAAGGCAAAGAACCTGCCCTTGTCAGATGCTGGGATCATCTTCGAAACGTACAGCATAAGAGGACCCTCCGGATCACAGTTTCTGATAGCAGTTGCATAGACATCATCAAGGGGTCCCTCATACAAGTTCTCCACACGATACTTTTGAGCCTTTGACGGGGAAGGAAGGTGGAATATCATCATCTCGAGCAGTGCAGTGCTAGCTGGTAGCCACGTTTGCATAACACGCTTCATCAAAGCTTTGCCAATCAATTCCTTCTCATCAGCCTTCATGGTAACATTGAGCTTTTGCAGCATGGGCCACAATTTCTCCTTCTGGTCGTTCATGCAGGTTTTGATGATTTGCTTGATTGGCTCATAGCAGAACTGAACAAATCCTCTCCACTTCTTTGTGGCAGGGTCAGGCCTCTCCATCATCTTAGCTTCATCAGATGCCTGTGTTTAGTTTGGTGGTCCACTTCTTCGAATGTTTGCAGGGTCATGGAGTTCTCACCCCAAAAGCCTCTCCATCATCTTAGCTTCATCAAACTCCAAACTTAGATGCTACATCTTGGCAAAGTTTCGTGAACTAAAAAGGCCCAAGTTAGTGAGGTAAAGGCCCATCCATCCGCAGGGCCAGCAGAAAAAGCAACAGTCCCCTTCTCTGGGTACACTTGGACATCACCAAGGAGCGTATCTTCATATGTTGCCATAATGACATTGGCATTCTCAATGACACGGGAGAAAGTCTGATAAGCTTCCTCGCCCTCAACCTGAAGCTCAAGGAAGCACCTGTCCATCTTGTTCACGGTAAGAACTGGCCTAATCCTCTCACCAAGGGCTTGGCGAAGCACAGTTTCAGTTTGCACACAGACACCTTCAATACAGTCAACCACCACCAGAGCACCATCGGTGATGCGAAGAGCAGCCGTGACTTCCGAAGAAAAGTCAACGTGCCCAGGCGAGTCAATAAGGTTGATCAGGTATTGGCTACCATCTCTCTCACCCTTGTAGTTCTTCAGTGACTCATCAGTCATCTCATAGTAAAGAGAGATACCAGTAGATTTGATTGTAATACCACGCTTTGCTTCGTCTGCACGAGTATCAGTCATGCGAACATCGCCAGCAACTTCCTGGGCAATAATCCCAGCAGCTGCCACAAGGGAATCTGTAAGCGTAGACTTGCCTGCAAAGAATTAATAATAGCATATAAGAACGGCGTGGAACTTCAACATGTGCATCGTAGAGTAGTACAATATTAGGGACAGACAACCAAATCAAAAGTTAACAAACACACTAGTAGATCGTAATCTAGAGTATATAATTATTAATAGATATTATATAAACTACAATAACTATAGAACCAGTAGATTAATTACAAGATGACAAAAGGATAAGACCATTTCCTACATTGGGTAAATATCTAAATATAGGTAGTTAACTAGGCCTAAATAGAAAGTGCAGCAAGAAAAGAAACGTCAGCTGTAAAGCACAACACAGAGCTTAAATATTGAAAACACAAAAGTTAATAACACACTTATTACAATCTAAAACATACAACCAATAGTAGATAATTATCTGTGAATATAGGCCTATTTCATACATGGGATAAATATCTGTGAATATAGGCCTATAGTATAGTAGATAATGCAGCATGAATAGAAGCAACAGCAGTCAAGCACAGTACAGAGCTTAAATATTGAAACAGAACAAATCTTGATACTGAAAAGGCTTGAGCAGTGTTCTGAACTTACCATGGTCCACATGAGCAATAACAGACATGTTACGAATGTTGTTCTTTTTGTCCATGATGGCACGGAGCTCTTCGGCCGTGAACTTCACCATCTTGACTTCTTATGAAGATCACACTACCAATGCCAATATTTATTCCTGCTGTGAAGGTATGGGAGTATTAGTAAGAATTTACAACATGAGTACAAAGCTAAACTGAAAACTTTGACACTGACATCAGTAGCAAAGAAGTAATTAACCACTATAGTAGTCAGGAACCAAAGATACACGGAAATTATTAACAATTTCAGAAAGTTGGTAAAATGTTTTAACAAGCATTATTTATCAGGATACATTATAGCATTGTTTACACCACACTTTACAGGATTGTAAACACAAACGCTAATAAAAAGTAAACTGAAAACCATGCATCTTAGTTGCACACAGGGTACAAACTCGGTAAACTAAGATATACAATCAGGACACCACGACTTATTCTGTAAAAAAAACGATCAAAGTAACAGACACGAAATAAACAAATAAATAGCAATTCGGGTTCGACGCGATTACATAGCATACTACTATATACTATATGTATGCACGGATATGGACACAGTATCAGGAGGATGCGATTTTTTTTTTCAGAAAACATGATACGGGGACATAGCAGGAAGTTCACGGAAACAATTTCTATTGACATACATGATTAATAATAACAATTTTTTCAGAAATAATTTTTCATAAACTTTATATTGACATGCATGATTAATAGTAATAATTTCTTATACATAATTATTCTTTTTTGTAATCACACAACAGGGCCTCCGCCAACCTAAGTCCAATTATTCAATATCCAGATCATCATAGTGCTCCGGACAATCAGGTGGCAACGCCGCCACCGCCGCCACCTCCAAGGAGGTCTCCAACGCCTCCAAGTAGGTCTCCAACGCCTCCAACGGCTGCCCCGCCTCCCTTGATGACTAAGAGGAAGCCAGCTCCTAAGAGGTCCGCCCCGCAAACAAAGTCGTTGTCCCACCAGCCGGCAAAGAAGAAAGCCTCATCTAATCCAGTTATTCCCCAAAAACTGTCTTTCGAGAAAAGTGAAAAGAAATTAAAAGCTGCAGTAAAAAAAGATGTGGACAGTTTCTTCGAAAAAGTAAAAAAGCAACGAGAAGAGAGGGAGAACCCGGAGAAATCATACTTCTACCTACCTCCAGATCTTCTAGGAAAGAAGGTGGACCAGAAAAAGCGGGAATCTCAAAAGACCCGCCAAAATCGGACTACGACCGCTCTCTCACCAAGTCATTTGAGGCGGCGCAGAAAAAGACTAGACCAGGGAAAGGTCTTGCACAACTCGAACAACAATCGCAACAATCAGTCCCCCCTCTTGTCGTTCGTAATGAATATGGTTCGAACTTAGACTTAGACGTCGATTTTGAGGAGTTGACTCGGTTTTACGAGGAAACTGGTTGGGACCTTGCCCAAGTGCTCGTTGAAGGACCATTTGCTCCGAAAGTGGATCATTGAAAGAAATTTGAACGTGGAAAGAGTCTATACAACCCTAAGGCCTTAGGTGAATTGGGTACGTAAATGTACCTGCTAAACAAGTTGTACATGGCGACGTGTGAACGGGGAGAGGCCTTTGTTACTGTCAGAGTTAGAAACCAACATTACTTCCGTGGCGATGACGTTATATGAAGCGACATGATTTCCGTGAAGGAAAACCCACAGAGTCGATGTGTGATAAGACCGTTGTAGATCATATTATCTCAAATTCCAGTCGAATTTCACTTCCATACAACGATAATATCAGAGTACAAATAGTGCGGAATTACATAAATTATTACATCGCCGCATTGGTAGAATCAAAAGTAGCATTCATTCAGAACAACTTGAAGATAAGATCGCCAAACTTGAGTGTAGGAACGAACCCCTCAACCGTTAAACTCCTCAGCAGAACCTGTGTGCCAAAATTTATCAGTACGATTTGTACTGGCCACTCCCACTCTATGAGCATTGCTTCGTGGAAATTGGATGCAAGTTGGATATGATCAAAAGGAACCTATAAGGCTAGGGTTTCCTATGTATTAGCATATCAAGTACATAATAATAGTTGGTCAAGTTTTAACATCATTCCCACACCCATTCCACCCCATTTCCGTCTAGAGCCAGGTTTCGATGCTGGGATCAATATACCACCATCTCCACACCATCACCATACCACAGCCATACCATCGCTCAGTCGACAGGCCAACTCTCTCTCGGCACTGTCTCAAGGCCCGTAGCCCCTGGCTATGTCCGAACACTCACTCCCAGGGGGAGAAGAGAAGGACTCATCTCACTATCTAGTTTAAGCGAAACCCAGGAAAGGTCCATAGCCGGCAAGTCGGCATATGTATCGATCGATCAACCATACACTCTGCAGAGGTTTTACATAACCACAAGATCTACCTTCCTCGCTGACCGTCATCAACTGGGCTGATTCCGGCCGCTTGCTAGCCTAGGATAATGCCACTCTACCATTCAGCCCTGGTACACCCCAAGTCTAGTCTAGGGTGGCTAAAACTGTGAGTCATGAGCCGGGTCCACAAGGTCTCCATGAAGTCTCGGAAGGGTGTGGGGAAAATCCTCCGCTCCCCGTACCTCCCTCACACTGTCCGCTATCAACCTAGCAGTAGTGGCAATATCCTACCCAGTAGTCCGGCCGTCCCACACCATATAGGGCGAGTGGTACGTAAGGCTTCCCGGTGAATCTGAGTACTAGTAAGTCCTTAGGGATGACCAAGCCAGAATGTATTCATCAGGGTTTCCATTTACCGTGCCACCACAGCACCTCCACCCTGGGCTCCTCTCATCATAGGTTCACACCTAGGGCCACCTCATATACCATTTACCCACCACAGGTATCCATTCCAGGGGTGCCCAGGTAGCACCCCACGGCAAGACTTGCTCCTGGCTCGTCGTATACTCCAACTTGGTCGACACAACCCTCACCCTCCACGCACCCAAGTCACACACGCAGCACTCTCCCCATAGTCCAGATAACACCAGTTTTCCACCACGCATCAAAGTAGTACAAGCATAGTAGAAGTAATAAGCATTGAAATATAGCAGCAAACGTGTGACTAGCCTAACAGTAGGGTGAGCAGGGGTAAGGTTGCGTCAAGGTAAAGGCCATCAAGAAAGCATACTACCATGCAAATCATATCATAGTGTGATCATAACAATAAAGTAAAGCACTAGCATTTCTATTTTAGCCATGCGTAATAGGTGCTACGAGATTGGGTGGGATGTGGCACCTTCAGTGTAGTCATCTCCGTACTCCTCACGGTACTCTCGGTCCTCGTCCCGTCCTTCTCTCCTCCGAGTCTCGCAAATGATCGCATTATAGTCGCTAAGAATGACGCCTATAGAATAGCACAAAGAAGCAATAAAAATTCAAAATAGCCAAATGCACTCAAACATGGGTTCATTGCGTAGAGCTCGATTTTAGATGAATTTTGGTCCTGGTTTCATATTTTTCTGAGGTTGTATGATTTAGTTATGAATTTCCAAAGATTAAATCCATTTGTGAAAATGGAAAAGGGCTAAATTAATAGCGTGCTGACACGTGTCACGCTCCTGTTGGCCCACGTAGCATGCTGATGTCAGCATGACATCATCATCTTGATTCCAAGCTGACATGTGGGGTCCTGCTGACGTCAGCTTGACATCAGCATGACGTCATCAACGTCATCCGTTCTGACTGGTGGGGCCAGGGTCTCTTGGGTCACTGACCTGTGGGTCCGGTCAGAGTCAACGTCAAGTCAACGGGCGAGTCAACGGTCAATGGGTCACTGACGTGTGGGGCCAGGGCTGCTAACGTCAGCAGCTGACGTCAGCATGACCTCACCTCGGCTGTGTTATTACTAACAGGTGGGACCCGCATGATGACGTCAGCATGACGTCACTTACTAACATGTGGGTCCAGAGTCTCTGTGTCGCTGACATGTGGGGCTAGGTCAACCGTCAACGTTGACCGGTCAACGGTCAACCAGGTTGGGTCTCGACTGGGCTTTGGTGGGCCTGGACAGGGCTAGATTTGGGCCGGGCTCAGCCCGCCATGGGTTGCTCTGTGGCGTTGCCACGTGTCCAGCCAGGGCCGCCCGTTTGGGCTTGGTCCAACGCGTCCACAGCTCGCCCACACTGGCTGGTCCATCATGGACCAGGGCGCGCTGGTCTATGGGCCGGAACACGGTTCACGGTGGACTTGGTCCACCCACCATCTCCTCCATTGCGGTCTTCGTGAACCGGGTGCACGCACGTGTGTGGTCGGGGAGAAAAGGTCTCCCCAGTATCTCCGACGTCTCGCGCGCGCATGGCGCGCCGTGAGAGCCTTGCCGGCAAGCGGCTGGTGCCAGCGGGATTGATGTGGGTGAAAGCTCCGCTGAGCCTCGGCGTCCTCGTTGGTGGGGTTAACGTGGCGTGCGGGGTCCCATAGAGTGCCGGCCACGGCGGCGGTCTTACGGGCACGACGGCGGCGGCGGTGAGGTGGCTATGGCCTCGGAGAGGCGACTCGGTGGTGCGTGTGAGCTTCACGAGGCCATTGCGGGCACAGCGGTGCTCTTGTGCTGCCCCGACGGCCTCCGGTGGTGGCTGGCCATGGTGAGGACTATGGTTGACACAGCGGCATCGCAGTGGAGATCGGTGCGGCCTGGCGTTCTCGAGCCGATTGGCTTGACGTCACCCTCCTCTTGACTCCTTGTGTGCGCGTGGGACTGGCTTCGATTTCAAGATCGTGTTTAGGGCCTGTGCGTGTGTGCGTGCGTGCGGTAGGGAGTGTGGTGGCATGAGCGGTATGCTCGATGCCGGCGTTTTCCGAGTAGAAGAACTCGGCATCATCCTTTCACTATGGGATCCTGTTTGGCTCTGCAAATCGGTCATGGCGGTCTTCTACGCTACTCGAGTCGCTAGGCCGAGTGCTCAGAGGCAATGGCAGGGTCTCAACGACGGCGAGCTCGTGCCAGTTGGCTGGGGAGAGGTCTTAGCAAGGTGCTCACCGCGCTGTGCTCGGCGAGGCTAGGTGATGCAGCGTGTGATTGATGCAGTGACGATCACGATGGCGCCGGCTCGCTGTACGCTCCGACTTGATCCGCGGCGGCGCTCCGAACTCTGGCGTGCTCCCGGTCCTCCTCCCGGCAGCGGCTCCGCCCTCCTTGTTCCTCTCCTCCCCTCGGGCCTCGTGTTGGGTGGTCTGGCGGATACTGCATGGCGGCGGCGTGGTTGAGAGGGAGAGGCTAAGGCTCCGGGGTCTTTTTATAGCCGAGCTCCATGCCTCCAATGGCGATCGGCATCGTGCGGTGGAAAGGCGCGCGACGCATCCGATGGTGGCGCGAGGTTGCGTGAGCGCGGCGCAAGGGGGAACAAGGGCCATGCCCCGGGCGTGACCCCCTGGCTCGCTCCTGCCAACGCTGTCGGCCCCCGGTCACGTGGGCGGTTGATGCGTGGGCGCGAAGAAGATGAATAGGAAAGCCGACAGGTGGGGCCCGACGGGCAGTGAGAGCAGCTCAGCGTCGCAACGCGCGCGCGTGGTGCAAGGCTGGGCCGGCATGCTAGGCCTGCGCGAGCTCATGGGCCACGCGCATGGGTGGGAAAAAGGGATGGGGTTGGCAGGCCGGCTGGGCTGGCTAGCTTGGGCCGAGCTGCTAGCTGCGAGGCCCTCTCTCTTCATCTCTCTTTTTCCTTTTCTTTTGTTCTTTGTTTGTTTCCTTAAGGCATTTGCTCATCAAAGGATTAATTAGCAAGCTTAATAGTTGTTTGGTGATTTTTAATTAGCATAACATAAGGCAAAGGAAGAATCCAACTCACAAGTGGTATTAATATGCATGCAAGGTTCATTTATTTAAGGAACTTAATCACATGTTTATGCCAAGAGTTATGCCATGCTTATGTGTTGACTTGGGTTGGGGTTAGACCTAATGCATCTCTCAGGTTGGGTTTCTATACATGACACTTATCAACATATGGGAGTTTAAGAAAAATTTTGTAGTTGGTATTTTTGGTGTATGGATTTTTGGGTTGTTACATTATATATATCGAGTTTGAAGAATTACACTAACTATGCCACCTGGACTCTCTCGACAAAAGTCTCATTAGCTGCTATTGTCTGTAAGTGTGATTATTTTCTACTATTAAAGTGTGTGTATATAAAGCTACATGTATATATATACATTATATATCCTCACACTATATTTTTATATATGCAGATATGAGATGACAGAACTCAGAAAGAGAAAGGATAATGATGTTGGTTTCGTTGATCCAAATGTCGTATTCAAACACTCTAATCCCCCGCCTCAATGAAAAGCTGAACTCGAGAAAAATCTCATGAGGTTCTTAGTGAACCAACAAAACAAGGACATAGTCTTCTCCTACAACTTCAAGTGAGTGTTAAATAATTAATGTCGATGATATGGACATTTGTTCAATTATTTGCTTACTAGCTAAGCTATCTCCCATATATATACATATATGTTGACTCTATTTAATGCCGATCATATTTGTGTATAAAAATATATGCAGCAATCACTGGATATTGATGGTCATCGATATGGCCAATAGTCGGTTGAGAATCTTAGACTCGTTAAGAAAAGAGCAAACAAAGTATCAAGACATTATAGATATTATCCAAGGGTAATATAGTCTCTCTAGCAACTATATATACCCGATCTCTTAACTGCAACAATTATTAAAGACCAAATTAATGTTTTATTTTATTGGGCGTGGTGTTTGGAAAAGTTTCATTGAGAATCACCACATGAAACATTGCAAAGCGCCACTGGATGTAATCGCACACAAAGTAAGTACAATCTACATTTATATATATATAATTCAATTAACATCATGCATGCTTTCAATTCACTAGATCTTTTTTCTCGTAAAAGTGGGTTCTGAGGCAAGAACATGGGGAACAACTACTGTGGATACTATGTTTGCGAGTTTATCGGGGCGTACACAAAAAGAACTTCTAAAGAGATCCTCAAAGTATGTTATATAAATATATTCATATATTCACAATTTCTTTTGTTGCTCATATATATAAGTAATCAAGTGACCAACACACATATATATATTAATACTTTTTATTTAACTTTTATTGAAAACTCTATGGTTGAAGGAAAAAGTCATACGACGTGACCAACTAAAAGCAATTCAAGAGACCATAGCAGGATTTCTTAATGACCAGTTCCTCAACCCCGCCGACGAGTTCTACAATGACGTCAACGAAACATGGAAGCCAAACTAGATGGAGTGATTTTGTTATCCCAAGGATATGATAGAATATACAATGCAACCTTTATTTGTAATATATATATATACATACATATTATATGTACATAAAATAACATACAATATATGTATATGCATGTAATATATACGTTAGTTTCATACTTTAGTTTGTACAAAATGTTCGAACATTATAAACGTGTAGAATACGTATATTATTAGCAGCGTAGAATGTGTATTCGAAAACCTATTCAAACACCAAAACGAATCATCAATTGAAAATAGAAAGAAAAAAAGAAAACCTTTAGTCCCGGTTGATAATACCAACCGGGACTAAAGGGCCTCCCCACGTGGCCAGGCCGGGAGGCCCTTTAGTCCCGGTTAGTCTTACCAACCGCCTTTAGTCCCGGGCGCGAAACCGGGACTAAAGGAGGGGACCTTTAGTCCCGATTTCGTACTCCTGGTTCCAAAACCTGGACTGAAGGTGGTTGAGAACCAGGAGTACAACCCGTTTCTCCACTAGTGAGTCCCCTTCTCTGGATACACTTGGACATCACCAAAGAGCGTATCTTCATATGTTGCCATAATGACATTGGCATTCTCAATGACACGGGAGAAAGTCTGATAAGCTTCCTCGCCCTCAACCTGAAGCTCAAGGAAGCACCTGTCCATCTTGTTCACGGTAAGAACTGGCCTAATCCTCTCACCAAGGGCTTGGCGAAGCATAGTTTCAGTTTGCACACAGACACCTTCAATACAGTCAACCACCACCAGAGCACCATCAGTGATGCGAAGAGCAGCTGTGACTTCTGAAGAAAAATCAACATGCCCAGGCGAGTCAATAAGGTTGATCAGGTATTGGTTACCATCTCTCTCACCCTTGTAGTTCTTCAGTGACTCATCAGTCATCTCATAGTAAAGAGAGATACCAGTAGATTTGATTGTAATACCACGCTCTGCTTCGTCTGCACGAGTATCAGTCATGCGAACATCGCCAACAACTTCCTGGGCAATAATCCCAGCAGCTGCCACAAGGGAATCTGTAAGCGTAGACTTGCCTGCAAAGAATTAATAATAGCGCGTATAAGAACGGCGTGGAACTTCAACATGTGCATCATAGAGTAGTACAATATTAGGGACAGACAACCAAATCAAAAGTTAACAAACACATTAGTAGATCGCAATCTAGAGCAAATAATTATCAACAGATACTATACAAACCACAATATCTAAAACATACAGCCCATTTCCTACATGTGATAAACATCTGAACATAAGTAGTTAACTATGCCTAAAATTAGTGCAGCGAGAAAATAAACATTAGCTGTAAAGCACAATACAGAGCTTAAATATTGAAAACACAAAAGTTAACAACTCAGTAGTAGTATAGTACAATCTAATACATACAGCCAACAGATAGTATATATACCACAATATCTAGAGAAAGCAAAAAAATTAACTACAAGATGAAAAAAACAATTAGCTTATTTCATAGGTGGGATAAATGTCCGTGAATATAGGCCTGTAGTAGATCATGCAGCATGAATAAAAACATTAGCAGTCAGGCACAATATAGAGCTTAAATATTGAAACAAAATAGGTCTTGACGTCAAAAAGGCTTGAAAACATTAAGGAATGCATGTATATATATGCTATCAAACAGAGCGTTCTGAACATACCATGGTCCACATGAGCAATAACGGACATGTTACGAATGTTGTTCTTCTTGTCCATAATGGCACGGAGCTCTTCAGCCGTGAACTTCACCATCTTGACTTCTTATGAGGATCACGCTATCAATACCAATATTTATTCCTGCTGTTGAAAGTTTAGGTATTAGTAAGAATACAATAAAAAAACATGAGAAAATAACTAAACTGAAAACTTTGACACTGACATCAGTAGCAAAGAAGTAATAACCACTATAGCTGTCGGGAACCAAAGACAGAGGGGAATTATTAACCATTTCATAAAGTTAATAAAAATGTTTAGCATGCAGTATTTGTCTGGATACATTATTCCATTGTTTACACCACACTCACGCTTCACAGGATTGTAAGCAAAAAAAGCTAAGAAAAAAGTAAACTAAAAACCATATGTATGATGTATCTTAATTGAACACATGATGCAAACTCGTTAATCTAAGATCTACAATCAGGACAGCACAACTTATTTTCCTCAAAAAAAGACCATCAAAGTAACAGACACGAAACAATCAAATAATAGCAATTCGGGCTCGAGGCGCTTGCATAGCATACCATATGTATGCACGGATATGGACACAGCATCAGGAGGATACGGATATAGAGATACGGTTTTTTTTCAAAAAACATGATACGGGCACATAGCAGGAAATTAAAATTGTCCTATATCCTAAAAGCAGTTGCAACGTAGCAGTAACATAAAAATTGTCCTATATTCCGGTTGAGCTGTTGTAGCTGCTAGATCCCGTCCACGATATTACAAGTGACCAGACCAGACAGACAATTCGACTAAGGAATAAGGACAGGATCCCGTCCACAATCTTACAAGTGACTAGACAGACAGAGGACAGTAAGGGCGTAAGGGAGAGAGGAAAGAGAAGAAGCTGGTTTGTACTTTGTAGTCGATTTACCGTGGGATGCGTGTGTCGGTGGTGACTGCTGCTCGTCGCGGGAGATAGAGCTCGCTGCCGGTGCCGGATCGCGTCGCAGGCGCTGAGGCGGGAGGGCGGCGGCGGCGCGGGAGAGATGGGTGAGTGGGGGAGGTGGGCAGAGATAGGGTTTTTTGTCCTCTTTGTTATATATATCCCACGGCAGCGGAAAGGTTCTGGTTTGTTTTGGGTAACTGAGTGACAACCTTAGGTGGACTAATGTGTCTAAGTGAGATACACAAGTTATTAGTACACAGGTATATGTGTGTAAGCAATATATGCCATGACGGTGATGATGACTCAAAGATGTTACAAAGCTCACACATATGATGATGAAGGAGCTTATTGCACATAAGACATGACATTGAGTCATGTGATCAAGGTGGAGAAGATCAAGACATGACTTGGTTTGATGGACCGGTTGCAAGCGTGAATGGCAAGTTGGAGGCTTTTGAGCGATGAACCGCGTGACGGTGAAGCTTGAGCAAGACTTGGCGCCAATGGACGAAGGCAACGGTGAAAAGCAAGTAAAGTCAAGATCGATGAACCAATATGATCATGTGATGATATGAAGTGGATCATATCATTGTTGATCGTGTTGGTGCATGTGTTGCATCGACAATGGAGGAGATGGAATGGAATGCGCAAGACAAAGGTATAACCTAGGGCATTTCATTTCACCGGTCATAGGTGTGTAAAGAAGTTGATGACTGGGTTTAGGATAGATGGCCGTACTATCAAGAGGGGCAAACTTGTTTGCATATCGGTCATCTAAGTGCCACTTGAGTGATCTAACTTTGCATCGTCGCTAGGATCGAGTGGCATGACAAGTTGAGTGGCTAATTCTTTGGAAAATATTTGTGAAAAGCTAACACACATACACATGGTGGTGTACACTTGGTGGTGTTGGCATAATTTACAAAGGAGAAGAAGTTAAAGTTGATGTGGATCAACTCAGTGAAGAAAAGGAGGCGAAACAGGTCATTAGAAGTGACCGGACTCTGCGTAGCACAGCGACCGAACGCTGGTTGGCGAGTTCGGTCATGTGTTCCTGAGAAGGCGTGGTCTCAGTCAAGTGATTGGACGCTGACCTCAACTGGATCGGCGCGTCCGATCAGTGGAAGTAATGAAGATGCAGGCTCGGTCTTTGACCAGACATTGGGTCACTTCATGACCGAACGCGGAGTGGGTGCGTCCGGTCCCACTGACATGGCGACGCAGAAGAGGAGAAGGATCGGACGCTGATGTTGCGTCTGATCGTGACCGACTGGACGTGTCCGGTCACAAAACAAAGGCTCAGAGAGCTCTCTAGAAATGACCGGACTCAAGCGAAGTAGCGTCCGGTCATCTCACTATGCCGCGTCCGGCCATGACTTGACTATTGAAGCGAGATAGCCAACCGTTGAGATCTAGTGACTGAGGTTGAACGGAGGTGACGCGTGGCATGCATCTGTTGACCAGACGCTGGCTAGGTGCATCCGATCGATCTGACCGGAGCATCCGGTCACCCCGAGCAGTGCCCAGTAAAGGGGAACAATGGCTCTATTTTTGTGGGGGCTATAAATAGAAGGTAGTCTCGGTCATGGCTGGCGCTGATCACCTTGGAGGACTTTGTGTCCATGCTTGAGAGTGCTTGGGGGCTCTATAACTCACTCTAGCTTGATAGTGTTTATCCGATTGAGTGAGTAAGCGATTCTAGTGCGATTGCATCGTGAGGTTGCATCGGGTGGCACTAGGTGATCGAGTTGCAAGCCGGTGGTGCTTGTTACTCTTGGAGGTTGATAGCTCCTAGACGGCTTGGTGGTGGTCTCCGTCGAAGCCCGCAAGAAGCTTGTGCGGTGCTCCGGACAAGAGCTTTGTGAGGGGCATTATGCTTGCCCTGCGGGAGCCGTGAAGAGCAACTCTAGTTAAACGTGTCATTGAGCTACCCTCACTTTTGGGGTAGGTTCTTGCGGTGCTCGATGTGTGGCTTGGCGGGTGATGTCAATTAGCCACCGAACCATCAAGTGAGCGGTCGACACAATGGGAACGTAGCGTGTTGGCAAGCACGTGAACCTCGAGAGAAAATCACCGTGTCAACATTATTCTTTCTATTGGTTTGCAATCCCCTTACACAAGCTTGTGGTTACTTTCATATACATTGTACTTGTGTAGTTGCTCTTGTAATTAGTTAGCTCATGTAGCTCACTAGTTACCTTCTTGCTTGTGTAGCATAGAAGTAGCTCCCTTGCGTGGCTAATTTGGTTTGTGTAACATTGTTAGTCACACTGCTTAGTTTATGTAGCTAAGTATTTGCGCTCTCTAATTTGGCATTGGTTGCCTTGTTATTGAGCATAGCTAGTGAGCTTAGTTGGGTTTGTGCTTTTGCTTACTAGCATGTGTAGGAGCTCTCTCGTTGTTTTAAATACTTGTGGCATAGGTTTGTGTGACCTTGCTCCTTGAATTGGATAGGTGAGCTCTAGCTAGCCCGGCACCTTTGTTGCATAAGTAGGATCTTTATAAGGTGTTTGTGAACTTCGATAGAGGGGTGTAGTCTTGGCTAGACCGATTGTTTTTAATTCCACAATTGTTTCGGTTAGCCAGCGTGGTTAAATTTAGAAACAACTATTCACCCCCCCCCTCTAGTCACCATCTTGATCTTACATGTGGTATCGGAGCCAGGTCTCTCATTTGTGGTCTTCACCGACCCGAGAGGATGGAGTCTAGTGGGCTAGATGTTTGTGAGACACATTTTTTTATGGCACAAACTTTGAACTTTGGAAAAATCACATGCTTGATCATTTTCATGCAAAGGGACCTAAGTTTTTATGGATTGTCACTAGTGGTCTCACCCATGTCTTGGATCATAGAAATCTCACCAAAGCTCAAAGAGTTCTCTATGACCTTGATGCACATGCTTGTTGTTTTCTAATGGATGCTTTGAGTTTTGATTTGATGAAGCGAGTAAACATCACGGAAACCGCTCGTGAGATATGGGAGTCCATCAAGCGCACCTTCGGTGATTCCTCCACATGGGATGATGGCAAGTTCAAGAAGGATGAGCCCAAGAAAGTGGCGCATGAGGATGTTGAGCATGACCACAACTTGATGATTGTGGAAGATTGCTCCACCTCATGGTCAAGTGATGATGATGATCGATCTACTACAAGTTCACTTGACAAGATTGATGATGCCTCAAGTGATGCCCATGATGATCCTACCCCATGCACACTTGATGGTAATGATGGTTCATGCTCGGGCCATGATTGTGATGCTACTACAAGCACATCCACTACACCACATTGCTTCATGTCACAAGGGGACACCAAGGTATCAAATGCTAATGTGGTTGATCATGTTGATTCATATGATGAGCTTGTTAGTAGACTTGCTAGCATGACCATGTCTTTAGAAAATGAGAAAGCTAAAACATTGAAATTGGAAAATAAAAATTCATTTCTAAAGAACTCTTGTGAAGAACATAAGAAATTACTTGATGTTCTAAAATTGAATCATGAGACACTACTTGCATCTCAAGAAGAATTATTAGAACACCATGATTCTCTCATTAAAGTGTTTACAAAGAAACTTAAAAATAATGAGAGCTCATCACATGGATCAAATGATAAATTACAAAATGTTGCTAACCCTTGTGATGTAGGCAAGAAGCATGTATCCACCTCTTGTGATGATTTATTAGATATGCCATGCTCTTCACATATAGATGTTTATTCTACCTCTATGTCTTGTGAGACTAACCTTTTGAAGGAGAACAATAAGCTCAAAAACAAAGTGAAGAATTTAAGCAACAAGTTAGAGAGGTGCTACAACTCAAAAATAACCTTTGAGCACATATTAAAGACTCAAAGAAACTATGTTGACAAGTGTGGCCTTGGCTTCAAGAAGGAGATGACAAAGGGCGAAAGAAAGAGAGAAAGAAAGATAAATAAGCTACAACAAAGAAAGATCTCTCATATCATGTGCTACCGGTGTCATGAAGCGGGACACCTTGCAAATGGTTGCCCTAACATTGAGAAGCTCAAGAAGATAAAAGAAGAGGAGAGGCTCAAGCATGTGAGGTGCTTCAAGTGCCGCACTTGGGGTCATCTTACCTCAATGTGCCCAACCAAACAATTGGTGAAGCAACAAGTGAAGTCTC